TTAGTTGAGTTTGCCAACGTTTTATTAACCTTATGAGTTCTTGTGCTCTTAAAAATTGATGGGTACTGTTATCAGGACCGGATCCAGAAATCTATGTAGTATGCATGTATGTATGGATGTGTGTGTTCATGTATGCATGTATATATGTAAGAAAGAATGTATGTGTGTGTATATATATATACATATATGCAAATACATACACGCGCATATATTCATGCATTTCTGAATCCGGTCCCGATAACAGAGGGTGCAATACAATTTCCTTTCAATTTTATTGCACCTTCTACGTACCTTTCTGTTCTTTTTCTTTTATTGCACCTTCTTTACTGCACCTTTTTATTGCACCTTCAAAATTTCCTTTTAAACTAACTGGTGCAATAAAATTTCCTTTCAATAGATGAGAATTTACGTTTCGATAGAAAACAGAAATAAGTTTCTTCTCCCTTTAAACTAGTTCGAGTTTCTGTTTGATATCTCTGTGCAACATTTAGTAACGGCAGGAAAAACATAATAAAAAACGTACAAGAGTAACGGTTAGTTCATTACTAAGGAAGGCTCAGGTGCGAGGCACTTCAACAGGCTCCTAGGCTGGGAAAGCCTCATCCTGTGTGTAGCGTCGTGTGGAAAAGGATATCTTTCCTGGCGTAACATAGTGTAGTTCATTACTGAAAGAAAAATTTCTCGTGATAAGCAATGAATGAGCCTTACGCAAATACAGATCGAAGAGTCAAGTCAAATCATAAGCTGGAGACGTCAAGAAGCAATAAATATGGCAATACTGTAGTGAAAAGCATATCTTTGATGTCGCATGCTACTGTCACGGCTTCCGGCGCTCAATTGAAGGTAGAATGATTTGAAAAGAGGGTCTACGATGAGCTGGGAGCAGCTACTGGATCACGTGGTCCAATGGTCAACCTGGAAAGAGAATGCATAGTCTTGCTCGTCAGTCTTTACTTAAAGAAGCGAGAGCTGCGGCTTCAAAACCTATTCAGCACCCTGGTGCTAGACTGCCACCTGAGACTAAATTCAAAATTAAGCAACGGAACTACTTGCGAAGAATCTGGCAAAGGTCGTGCGATCCCAGTATCCGCGCCCAATTTCGCAAGATAGAAAACGAGATAAGGACTGAAACCCACTTATTAAAACAAATGGAGTGGGAAAATTGTATTGAGTCCCTAACGACTGAAAACAAATCGATTTATGGCGTAATCGGGCGTGCAGCCGCCCCGATTACGCAAACATTACAAGCTCATTCCGCCCCTTGAAACGGCCGATGGCGCACAGATGGCCTACACAGACTCAGAAAAGGCCGAAGCTATTGCTGAACAGCCTTGCTACTCAATTCACACCAAACAACGACTCCTACTGTAACCGCCCGGTTACACAGGGGCGCATCCATTCACGGGTTGAAGACTTTCTATCACAAACCTTTCCCGCCTGACCTCAGGCCAACTGATCCAACTGAAGTCATGGTTTACATTGATAAAATTAAACCTGACAAGGTCCCCTGGCATAGATTCAATTTCGAATCGCATGATCAAAAACTTCCCCGTAATGTTTATTGTCTGGATTACGGTCCTTATTAATTTAATGTTCAGGAGAAGCTATTTTCCCGACTGTTGAAAAACTGCAACAGTCATGCCCATTCCAAAACCGGAACAAAATTTAAACTTACCCGTCAATTGCAGATCAATTAGTCTGCTCTCGTCTGTCTCAAAAATCTACGAATATGTCTTGCTTAATCGCCTGAATGAATTCTGTCGAGATCAAAATTTGATCATCCCGGAACAATTCGGCTTCCGACCTAAACACTTCACTGTACACCAGTTATTACGTGTAGTGGAATTCATTCATGAAGGCTTTCGCAAGCGATAGAAAAACTGGTATCGTCTATTTTGACGTAGCAAAAGCCTTTGATAGGGTTTGGCATGACGGACTTATCTACAAGCTCATGCGGCTTGGTTTCTCGGCTCATTTCATTAAAATTATTAACTCGTACTTGACCGGGACGAAGTTTCCGTGTGCGAGTTAATCCACGAATTCTTCCACTCCCCGCTCCAATCTATGCCGGCTGTCCACAAGGGCAGTCTCGTCGGGCCCTCAGTTTCAACCTCTACGTAAATGACATTCCTAAGGCCCCTAGGTATCGATCTTGCTTTATATGCAGGACGATACAGCCATCATCGCACAACATTCCAACACCTCCACTGTAATCTCTATATTACAGAGTTACCTTTCAGCCTTAGAACTCTGGCTCGGTTTGTATATAATCAAAATTAACGTCACAAAATATGCTGCCACTCTGTTCATCCGAAGAAATATCCCACGATTAGATAATTTAATACTCTTCGGTGAACCTATTTCCTGTGTTTCTTCATATAACTATCTTGGTGTTTTACTTGACTCAAAATTAACGTAGCAACTTCACATTTGAAGAATTATTGGGAATGCGACGGCTGTCAAATCCAATCTGCGCCCCTTCTTCGCTTTAAATAGCGACCTGTCAATTGACAACAAGATTTTGCAAGTCTATCATAAGGCCTGTTCTGACTTATGCATGCCCCATTTGGGGCCCATCAGCACTGACTAACAGAAAACATGTCCAAACTTTTCAATCTAAATTGCTTCGGCAAATACTCAAAGCTCCGTGGTATATAAGGAACGAAGAGATTCATAATGATCTCAAAATTATGCCCATTAATTGCTTTATACAGCGACTTTCGGAAAACGTTTTCAAAAATATTCAACATGTTGCAAATCCCGTGCTGCATATGCTACCCGTATATGATCCTGCAGTCGCCTCATCTAGGAAGAGACCGAGATCGGTTCTAAACCCGGGATTATGCTGCAAACCCATTTAAACGGGCAAGGTATGCTCATACTGACATGCATGTGAATAATTACCTCTCGTTCCTTTCCCTTCTCGCCTCTCGAGTCTTGAAAGCCAAGGTCATTGACCGGAGGAACCCCTCTTGCTTCTTTAAGAAGAAGCTTTACAGTCGCAGGCGACTGAACTTAACTTTTAAATCTAAAGTCAATTGACTATTTTTTTACTTCAAAATAGCTCTTTCAACCCTTCTAAAAGGGCCTTTTACTTGCTTGTAGCACCCCCTAAGGGCTGTCAATCATTTGGCCTTAAATGTGGACGGTAATTAAAAAAAACTTATATATTATTATACGGAAGGTTTCCCATAAAAGTGGTTCGAGCGAAGGAAACACGCCAGCAGTCTCCTAAAACTTTAAGTGAGCACCTGATATTTGCTCTTACAAAAGTTAAGTAGAATTGTAGATTCTACGTAAGAGCGAAGATCAAAGGTCCACTTAGAGTTTCAGGAGATTACTGACATACTTTCTGCGCTGGGACAACTTTATGGAAATCTTCCGTATAACTAGTTGTGTATAATTATCATCCAGATTTTGCAGAGTACTTGATATTCATTACATCTCTTTTCAGTAAATTTACATTTTTATGCTATGTAATTCCAAAAATAAGCTTCAAATAGGATGAATATTTGCATATTCTACTGAATTGCCTAGATCTGAAGAATTTCTTTTACTTCCAGATTTTTTTCCTTATGTCTGCATAACCTGCACTTATTCCATTCGTTTTCTTATTAATGATAGGAAAACTTAAAGTTACGTGAGAGATTTGGAATACTGAAGTTCATATGAATGTTGAATACTGGGAACAAATCAGGCATTCTGTCATAATTGAGTAATACTCTGAATAATAAAATTTTAAGAGAACATCAGTTTCATTCACGTGAATAAAATAAATACATTTTCCAAAAACACATCCAGGAAATCTATCACAATTGTCAACATAAACGATCTACAAATATATTTTTAAGTATTTAAATAACTCATAAGCTGAAGATAAACCAAGAGAAAATGTATCGAGAATTAATTGGCATATATCAACAGCAAAGATAAAATAGTTTCCAATAGCAAAGAGAAAACAGTTTCGAAGTGTTTAAAAGAGTACCGAAAGCACACTCTCTGAAAACGTTTGCAAAAAGGCAACGACATCACAAATACATAAATTTTATGGAACATGAAATTATTTAAAAATTTTCGTACTGACATAGGAAAATACTCATTAAATTATTAAATGTGGGTATTTCTGTACGTGTTTTTAAAGAAATAAATGTATACATTTTTAGGGAAAGTTTGCATTCTATTTTGGTAATAATACTGATAAGTTAGAAAACTTTTCTGTATTGAACACATGTGTCTACGAAATTCTTTGAAAAAAACAGATAGTTAATAATCATTTCGATACTTCATTAGAAATCAAGTGTTACAGATGAAAAACAATTTAAAATTAACCAAGAGTACAACGGAGTTACATGTATAAACTATTTTGCTTACCAGTTATGAACGTTTAAGTAGGATATATCCAGAATCTTCAAAATTAGTAATGAGACGTTCGGTTTAACGTTGAGATTTTACTAAAGTCTCTATAACAGCAAAATGCTCGTTCAAATTGTGCTAACAGAAGAATAAAATGTGTCTTTTTTATAATATTCGCATGATATGTAAAATGAAAGCATGGCTCAGTTCAGCAATGCAATGCAAGATGTTAAGTAAGAAAAGGTTCTAAACTGAGTTTTTGTCACATACAAAAGGCACTGAAAAAGTGAAAATTAGCAATATATTAGCATTTGACTGGAATACAAGTTTTCAAAGATAATCAAGTTGTATGAAAATTAATCAAAAAGTATAACATGTCCAAATTTTCTTCGCAATAACTTATGAATGTTTCCGTTTGAGTAGAATGAAGTCGGAAAGTGCAAATTTGGTAATGAAATACTCATTTCAGCCTTTGAGATTTTATCAAAAAGTATAATAAACACATGTGTGTTAGTAAAATTCTACTTGAAAAATGAGCGTGTTTTGGTTACTAGAAGCAACTTAAACTGAATTCTACGAATATCTAGCATTCCACCTTAGCTACTATATCTTCTATCAGATTATGTGTTTTCGAATATGCAAAAGACTTTTTAAAGCTATAACATTTGTTTATTCATACACAGATATTACAGATTTATGCATCTATTTTTATGTATTTGAAAATAAACATAGTCATTTCTGCGGCAATTTATCTTGTATTTCTTTCATAATTTTTTTCTTGTCCTCCAAAATGTCAACTACTTCCGGAACAGCAAATTTTCTGTAGCATTTCGTGTAATCGATTTTTTCCTTGAAAGGGTCAATGGCTAATGTAAGGAAACTTTCAGCCTCTTTTTCATCCAATTTGTCACCTATACGATTTAAAAATCAGTTGAAGTTTTATTTGTGAAAGGTATGTAGAATTTTATCAGTTAAATTTTTCCACAATTTAACTGATAAAATTCAATAGAAATTAATAAACATTTTACTTTTGTAAAATCACTAGTTACTCTAGTTAAACAATAAAGTGACTAACACGAGCTGCACGAGTGTGCATCTGTTATAGTGTATATGCGCATATATACGTATGAGCGGTGTGTATGTACCAGCGGTGAACCTAAGCTTATAGTTCTACGTTTTTAGCACTAATCAGAAAAAGGAGCTTAAGGAAGGAATATTTCCCATCTAATTTTTATTTAAAATTGAAACATTATATATGTCAATCATTTGATTACCAGTAGAAACAGATCTCGTTTTTAGCGTATTTGGCGAGACTGTAAATTTTCAGCAACACAAACATACTACTTCTCTAAGTCTACAATAAAAATAAATGCGTACGCTATAAATTCATAAATATGTTTGATTAATTAGTGATGTTCTTTTGTATTTTACTTCAAATTCCTTGAAATTCATATGTGTACCTTTCATATTTCATTGATTGGCCGCCTTCAGGGCGATCGTGGCTCTGTGCTCACCGTGTGGGACTTATTTATCACACAAAATATGATATTAAGCGCATAAAGTTCTAATTTAAATTACTTATTTTTAATTTCTACTTGGTAGGTGTACATCCCTCTTCCATCGTGTCTGTTATAAATTGATTGCTTGAGCCGATTGGCGATCCGATCGTCTTGTCTCTGTTGATATTCTGTAACTTAATTTTAGTTTGGTGGATGATCGAAGGTGTTAAGCCTAATAATTATGAAGGCATATGCCTAGTAATAATGCTTGTAACCACTGTATTATATTGTAAATAAAACGTGTGTGTACTTATAACGAAGCGTATTATCACTTACCTCTGGAATTAATGCTCTCTGATGGTAACGGAATTAGTTACTACACATTTCTGGTGACCAAACCCACGATTCCAGTGAAAGAAGAGGTAAGTGAAAAATTTTGTAATTGATAATGAATAAACTTGAGAAAAAATATAAAGAAGCGCACGGCGCTAAGAACAGCAACAACGAGAGTTATTAAAAAGTTAGAAACAGAACTAAATGTTATTACTCCGAATATTGAACTGATTGAAGAATTGTTTTCAGTGTTAACAGAGAAAGAACGCGATATGTTAGAATTAAATAAAGAAATATAAGATGATATATTAGACGCAAATCAATAAGAAAAAGACATAAAGTCTACTGAAAACTATAAAGAAGAGATTTCAATTTCCAAAACACGCGTAAATAGATATTTAAAACAGATACATGAAAATATAGTGCAGGATAATACTACGCATTCTAACTCGACAACGTCGGGCTTGAATTCTGCTCAGGTTAAACTTCCACGTTTAGTAATCGAAAGCTTCAATGGCGAAATACCAAAATGGCCAAATTTCTGGTCACAATTTAAAACTACAATTCATGATAATGAATCGCTAAATGATGCTGAAAGTTTAATTATTTAAAAACATATTTAACATGTGATGCCGAAACTTCCATAGGATGTCTATCATTGACTTCAGAAAATTATAATAAGGCAATCGAAATATTAAAATAGCGCCTTTGTAGAAAAGAATTACATATAAACATTAGTATGTCTAGATTACTCAATCTGACGCCATGTAATACTCGAAAGGCATAACGTCATTAAGAAGAATTTACGACAATGTTAACATCGAAATACAAGCGTTAGCGAGCCTTGACATTGAGCCAAACTCTTATGAAGTACTTCTTTTCCCCATTTTAGTTAGAAAGCCTGAACCTGAACCTTCATGATTCCGAAGAAAATAAAATAACGGATTTATTAAACCTTTTAAAGAAATAAATCGAATCTAGAGAACGCACATTCCTTTTAACTAAATCGATGGATTGCAATAATATTTATTCAAAAAACACAGATAAATATGTTCGCGCGAATAAACAAAATAAAGAAAAGTTCGTATCCTACGAAAATAAAAATAAAAATCCAAGAAAACAGTCAACAGCTGCGACTTTAAACACATTTATTGATAACTTATGTGTTTTTGTGATAAAGTAACAGATCATTTATCAGACGATTGTAATAAATTTAACATAGCACTAAAGAAGGATATTCTGAACGAAATGGAAAATGATTTTTGTGTTATAAAATGTTCCATACTAAAAAATTATGCAGAATTAAGGTTGAATGTAATGTATGCCATAAAAGGCAACAACACAGAAAGGGGTTATGTGAAAAGGCCTATCCAGTTGTAAATGATTATTTATGTGAACTATTAATAACTCTGAAACAGTATTGATGTCAGTAATGCCAGAAAATAAAGAAATTACAAGTTGTAAACAAATTGTTTTTCTACAGACATTCCTAGCCATTGTTCATGGCACAGGAATGAAAACGAAAGTTCGTTGTTTACTTGATTCAGGAAGGTCAACGAACATTTATTCATGACCATTTATCGAAGAAATTAAATTTGGCAGTCGTAGGTAACGAAAAAATAAATTTACACACTTTTGGTAATAATGCTGCAGTGAACAAACACTACAAGATGTAGGCTTAAATTCCAGTTATGTAATATCGGAAACGAAAATAAACATTTGACTATTGAAGCATTAGAATCCTCCTTGTAATGCTTTAATAGAAATTCCTAGCCAAGAACTGTATGACCAGATTCAATCTTTAGCTATTAAATTATCTGATTATGAAGATGGTCAAAGTAACCACCATGAAATGATCCATTCTAATTGGATCAGACTATTTTGGGGAAATAGTTTCTTGTAAAACAAAACATTCATCGGTGATGTTAATAGATAGACTGATGGGATGGTCAATTCAAGGTCCGGTTAAGCATTCCTCTTTACACATAAAACCATCATCTATTGGAGTTTTAAACGCTCTTCTTATGAAGGATTTGGATGAAAATGAGTTAGCGTCGTCTCAGTTAAAAGCGTTTTGGGAATTAGAATCCCTAGGTATCCATAATGACTTAAAAGTGTCCATTTCTGATGAAAAAGCTCTTCGAAGTTTCGAATCAAGTTTGACTTTTAAAGAAGGCCGTTATGAAGTACAACTTCCTTGGAAACATAACTGTGATAATTTGGAAAATAATTACGATAATGCTAAGAAAAGACTTGTTTCGTTGGTTCGAAGATTTTATAAGGATCTATTCTTGTATGCTGACTATAAATCTGTGATAGAAGAATACTGTAAGTTGAGAATTGTAGAATCAGTAACTGAACAAAATGATACCGGTCAGAATCCGATAAATTATTTACCACATCACCCTGTAATTCGGAAGAATAAGAATACAACGAAATTGAAGATTGTTTTCGATGTTTCATCGCATCCTTCTCATGCTCCTTTGCTAAACGAATTGTTACATCCTGGACCAAACTTAAATCCAGATCTCTTAAAACTTATACTTAAATTTCGAATTAACCTAATCGCATTTATTGCTGATATTGAGAAGGCATTTCTGCAAATTAGTTTAGTAGAGACTGATCGTGATGTTGTACAATTTCTGTGGATAGATGATTTGCCAGATAATATATCTGATATTGAACCAAAAATTCTACGAATGATTAGAGTCCTGTTTGGTATTACTTCCAGTCCATTTCTTTTAGCTGCTCTAATTAAATTCCACTTGAAGAAATATTCCATTATGTATCCAGGTACTTGTTTGATGTTAAATGAATCGATGTACGTCGACGATTTATTATCAGGAGATCCGAATGAAGAAGAAGCTTTCAGAAGATCTAAAGAAACAGACTACATAATCAAAGAAGCAGAAATGAAACTTCGGAAATGGAGAAATAATTATGTAGAACTTTAAAACTTGTGGTCCGATTATGGATTTGAAACTTGTACATCCAGAAGATGCAGATATTTCATCAAAGGTATTGGGAATGCTTATGGGATACTCAAAAAGGACATTTTCTAAATTTGAATGTCAGAAAACCTATTAAACTTTGTTTTGAATTCTGATTATACTAAACGTACAATAATAAGAACTGCGGGATGAATATTTGAAGGAATGGGTTTTCCTCCTCCCTTCACTATCAGGCTGAAAATAATTTTCCAAGAATTATGGGAACGAGGAATTCATTGGGATGAAGAATTACCTCAAGAATTAAAGGAAACCTGGAAGAGCTGGTGCTCTGAAGTAGAACTCCTGAAGGAGTTTCAGTTCCAAGAAAACACTTTCCGACCAATGTGAAGATGATTGCAGATACATTGCAGTTACACATATTTTGCGATGAGCTTACGGTGCAGTAGCGTGTCTCTTTCAAGAAGAAAAGAGCATCAGAACTAGTTTTGTGATGGCTAAAACCAGAGTTTCTCCTCTAAAAGAAACTGACACTACCGAGATTAGAATTAATGAGTGCAGTGATTGAAGCTAGAATTGCCGATTACCTAAACGAGGTATTCAAAGTGAGCATTATTTTACTTTGGTTAGACTTTTCCATTACATTGCATTGGATAAAAGGCACGGTAAAGTATTGGAAACCATTTGTATCCAATAGGGTAGCTGAAATAAAGAACTATACCAATCCTCAAAACTGGAATCATTGTAAGGGTACGGACAACCTAGCCGATATACTCACGAAAGGAAAAAAATGTTTCAAATTTAATGAAAGACGTTAAATGGTGGCAAGGTCCTCCATGGGTAATGTTATCAGATTGCTCATGGCCTCGAAGCAATTTGAGTGAAGTTAATTCTGAAGACTTGAAAATTGAAAAGAAAACTACAGTGCAATTTGGATGTAATGTCACACCGACATCAGAACCAGTTCTCAATATAGAAGAGTATAGCAAATTGTCAAGATTGTATCGAATTACAATCTTGACAATAATTCTTGGATAAAACGCTTTTTACATAATACGAGAAAACTTGGTGAGAAGAAAGAAGGTTCCTTAGCAGCTTTAGAACTATCATAAGCAGAAATGTATTGGGTGAAAACTATCCAATCAAAGTATTTTAAAGAAGAAAGAAATCAACTGCTTAATGATTAGCCAATAGCAAGGGTATCGAAACTTATTGAGTTCGATCCAGAATTAGATGAAAACAAACTGATATGCATAAAGGGAAGACTACTATTTTCAAAATATGAAATGAAAGAAAAACACCCATGGTTAATTCCTGGAGGGCAGAACTCTTAATTATGGAGGCGCACAATAAGGTAGTACATTCAGGAATAGCTGACAATCTGGCTGAACTACGGAGCAAATTTTGGATTCTCAGAGGAAGGCAGAACGTTAAATCTGTGCTCAATAAATGTTTAATATGCAGGCAATATAAGGCAATATAAGTCACAGCTCCGCTTCCAGCAGATCGTGTTTAAGAATCTCCCCCCATTCGATGTGATTGGCATTGACTTTGTTGGCCCGTTGTTTACAAGGTAAAACAAAGAAAAGCACTATAGTTTATTATGTACGTGTGCAGTTACAAGAGACATTCATTTAGAACTAATTCCTAATTTAAGTACAGAAACATTCTTACTTGCATTTCGAAGATTCATTTCACAAAGCAGAATATGTTCTACTATCTACTCCGATAATGCGAAAACTGTCAAAAGAGCAAATCTAGAACTGAAGGAAATATGGAAGGAAATTAACCACCCAAAAGTTAGATTATTTTTCGGGAAAACTTATTTTCAGACTTAGCTTTATTTTCATTAATTAAACTTCAGACTTAGGCTTTAGATTTCAGACTTAGCTTTATTTTCATTAATAAATAATGCCCTTAATTATAAATAAATTTAGTTTAGTAGGTAGTTTAAGCTAAATTTTATTTTAATTTGTCATTGAAATTTATCATTGAAAAGGGAGCCTGGTGTGGCAGCTTTTATGAACGTATAGTGAGAATAGTGAAAACATGCCTCAAGAAAATAATTGGAAAGTCATCTTTTTCAAACCGAAGAACTCAGAACTGTCTTCACAGAAATAGAAGCTGTGATAAATTCAAGACCGTTTACCTATGTGTACAGTAATTCACAGGAGTTATCTCCTTTAAGTCCTTGGCATTTTCTTGTAGAGAAACATTTGATTTCTTTACCACCGGTAAAATATGATGCAAAATATGATGCAGATAGAAATAATATGATAAAGCGATACAACTATGTACAAAAATTGTTACATCACTACTGGAAAAGAAGGAAAAGCTAATATTTGCTAAACTTAAAATCTGAAAAAGACCAATACAACTTTTGTATCCATTGGAACTTTCAGAATAGTAAACTATATACTGATAAAATAAGACAATTTGAACTTTAAAATTTCATTTAGAATTCTATATATACTTATTATTAGTTATTGTTTTGTTATTTATTATTGTAGTATTTTCATTATGTTGTTTTGATATTAATTGTAGTATTATAATTAATTATTATTGTAATTGATAAGTAAGTATTGTATAATGTTAATTAGTTAGATTTAATTAATGAACTTGCAGTTCATGGGGGGGGCAGGATGTTATAAATTGATTGCTCGTGCCGTTAGGTGGCGCTCCGAACATCTTATCTCCGTTGATATTCTGTAACTTAATTTTAGTTTGGTGGATGATCGAAGGTGTTAAGCCTAATAACGATGAAGGCGTATGCCTAATAATAACGCTTGTAACCATTGTATTATATTTTATATAAAACGTGTGCGTATTAATAACGAAGCGGATTATCACTTAACTCTGGAATTAATGCTCTTTGAAGGTAACGGAATTAGTTGCTAAAGTGTCCAAGCAAGCAACAGGTCAACATATAAACGTAAACATACTTTGCGATCGCCTTACCCACACGCTGCATCAGTAAAATTACTTTTTTAGTCCTTAGTTAAAAGTACTTGACTATCCCTGCTTTTGAGTAAAATAATATACCAACAACAATAAACTGGAGTAACGAAAGAATTTTAAATTCCTTCAAGCTTAGCTAAATTTTCAAAAGAAAGTCATTACGCTCTAAATCAAGCTTACGGAGATAAATTCGTATCCTCAAAGTGCGTTTAAGAATAGTTTAAACGTTTTCCGGACGGACAAGTTTCTGGCGAAGATACGGATCGATATGGTAGCCCTATTACTTGGTAGTGATAAGAACAGCGAAAAAGTGAAGAAGATATAAACGAGAAAGAGCGACAAAGAATGTTAATAAGTATGTAGCGATCCTGACAGCCAGTCAAACTCTCGCACCACAAGCAGTTCAAATATCAGAATCTATCACAGATAAGTGTTTTGCGATAGCGGTGCGGTATAATCCTCGATCCAATCACAAGGTCGCTTACGATCCTCAAAGACATACGAAATTCGTGTGCTGCTGCACTTCTGATCGATGCTGAAGGTGCCAACAGGAGAAACTAACTATATGCTGAGCAGGCACCAAGTGAACTAACGATTCTACGTGCTCGCTACAAATGTAAGAGTATTCTGATAGATTTGTTGCAAAAGGCACGTCGTGCATGTCCAGAATATGGTGAGCTGAATTATTCGTTCCTTCTCCGTGGTAATTCCCTGCCATAATCTGCTCTTCTTGCGAAACGGGTTGTGGTCTGTAGAAGAGTGATAGTTCTCGGCTACCCACTATGCTCCTGTGGTCTTTCTTGTTTAAGCAGATTTCCTTCTGTCCTGACACTTGAAACATCCTTAAAAAGAGAATAATTCTAATGCACGTGACCAGGATTAGTCCATGCAATCCTGAATGAGTACTTCGCCTGCGATTTTCAAAAACCGTAAAGGAATAGGGACATCGTTAGCATTCTTCAGGACCATTGTTGTCAAAAGCGCATTGTAAGTTACTTTGCGACTTAAACTGCAAACTATTCAGTTGGAGCCAACATTGCAAACGACGGATATTACTTTGAAATAATACCTTACTTATAACTCACTTAAATATAAGAAACTTTTGTTTATGATCTGAGATTTATAGCCTTACCAGTGTCCAAGTGTATTTATTGTCTTACCAGGGTACCAATGTCCAATTAAGACCCTTGAATGCAAAGGTAGTATGACCTGTTTTGACTTCGAATTCATGTAAACTGGTGGCAGCATGGTTAGTTTCCCTGTGTAATGGGAATACGAGCCAATTTTTCTCAGAAAGTCCTCCATAAAGGAATTATTCTCTTAGAAAAATAGCCTCCATTGTTTTGCCCTATTCAAATAACTTAAGCTTCCCGAACTTAACTGTCATACCTTGTATTACAATAGATCATGTTTTTATCATTATTTGCTTTTAGATGACGATACTCAAATACCTATTTTCTTTCAGAAACATTGAACATTCAAAACTGCATGCCTTGTTAGTCGTAATTTCCTGATTTTGACGTCTTCCGTACTCAAATCCAGTAAAGAGAAAACAATTATTACAGTCAGCTGCCGATTAAGCAGTTGCGTATTAATCGGACACTACCTGAAAGAAGAAAGATGTTAAATTTGTTTACTGAAGGAGGATGGGAAAAGGATTATCACAAAGTATCAGCGGGAACGTCTTCCGTACTCAAATCCAGTAAAGAGAAAACAATTATTACAGTCAGCTGCCGATTAAGCAATTGCGTATTAATCGGACACTACCTGAAAGAAGAAAGATGTTAAATTTGTTTACTGAAGGAGGATGGGAAAAGGATTATCACAAAGTATCAGCGGGAAACAAAGCTTTATATGGAAAATACAAAATGAAAAGTGGGTAGGATAACAGCAATAATAGGAATGTTGTTATAGTAGTTGGTAGTTGATTTTAACCACAATAGCAAAAAATTTAATTGCGCGTTTGCATGAAAGAAGCCAAACTGTTCTAACTGACTTTTTTATATAAGTTTAAACTCAGTGACATTATTTAAATTCTCTTGTAAATATTGCTTTTAATAATATTTATAATTTCTTATTCTTATTTAGTTTTTACTAGTGATGTAATTGACTTTACCAAATGAATTCATTCTTCACACTGAACTGCCTGAAAATGGAGTTAATAATATCCGTCTGTTAATTATGAGTTATCTTCCTTTCTTTAATTTTTTAGCTAGCAAAGGAAGAACTACGATTTTGAGTAATTATCATTTCCGGTATTACCCTGAAAAAGTAACAGTTTATTGTACCTATTTTGCATTAAAAATTAGGAAACTTTTTTCTTTTTGTTTTTCATTAAAAATCTTTTATAATTCCGCTAAAGCATTTTGCAATTCAACCCAAATAATAAATGATATCGGAAATCTGGGCTGCTTTCTTTTCTGACGACAATATATTACATATATTTTCAAAAGTATCTCACCATGTTCAGTCAGTAACATTTTCATATGGTCCGGATCTATACAACCGCTTTCTTTTATATCAAAGAATTGAAATGCTTGCAACAGTCGTTCTTTAGGAGCCGGTTTCCATCTAATTAATATAAACAAAAATTCAAAAGTTTCATGTTCATTCAAATAGCATGTTTTAATAAACTGAAGATTTACTTCAGAAAATTTGAGACATCGATATCAAAATCAAATCTCATTTACATCTTAAAAACTGGAAAACATTTTTAAACTTTTCAAAGCTTTTGCCAAAAGGCTTCTGTAGACAACGCTTTAAACCCCAACTATGTTGTCTGCATATTCTAAATCGGAATGCGTTTGAAATTTTAATAAAAAGTAATATTACATAATAAATGCTTGCCATTTCAATAAAAGAATTAAAAATCAAAATTAAGCAAATTCGAAAGCATAAATGTATTACACTTTTTTTTTTTACCTCCGAAAGGATTTGCAATTAATTCTAGTATACCTAGCACTTTGAAAGCTTTCTCAGATATCCTAAATGTCAGCGAAATAAAACTTTTTAAAATTGAATGACAGAAATATATTGCAGTTAGCGTTTTTCCTTTCGTGAAAAACTGTATAATTTCTCAAGGAATCTTCTTACAAAATGGATGTCCTCTGGTGGCAACGGTAACACGACTGCTCACGGGTAGTTTGACCTGGGTGCAAATCCCAATAAAAGTGCTGGGTACATAAATATTTTTATGGTATTTCCAAAGTGTAAATTGAATACGATCCAAGTTTCCTTAAAACATCTTCTACGAAGGTATCCTTTTCCATAGGCAGCCAGACCTCATTTGCTTTACCGTTATCCAGTCTTACAAAATTTCCTAATTACTTTTTTTATTTTCGCTTGGACGAACAATCATAGCAACAATAAAAAATAATCGTTCAGATTATAATATATATGTAACACATTACTTCAATTAATAATTTTCATCATAAAGTAGATTAGGGAGAAGGTAAAGTTTTTAACCTTTTTAAGAAACATTTTCAAAATAAAACAAAAATTGCTGAATAGACTTTTTCAGAACAGTTTATAAGATATTTATCCCGCCTTCCTAGTATGCCTTCGTGGTGTAGTGGTTCTGCATGCTGGGCCGGTATTCCCGGGGAAAGCGTTGCTAATTTTTCATCTTGCCTGCTTCCAAAAATACCTAATGTCTCTACAAGTTCACTGATTTTGATTTTAGCAAAGGCAAAATGTACATTTGAAAAATCTTCCTTTAAGGGGACTCATACACCTTAAACACCTCATGATCTCATAATATGTGACTGTTGCAAGAATTGGGATATTTTTTTTATTTTAAAAGCAATTCCTTCCAACGTTTCACAGCTGACTACATAATATAGCTGCTTTGGAAATTAGTAACCAGAAAGTTTGTGTTGCCACAAATGTTTTTGTAATTTCATCCTCTTTGTGACAAAATATTTCGCCATGTTTCCACCGTCCGCGCATGATATTTTAAAAATGGCTAATGGTACGTACTTGAAATTTGATGGAATTCTTTATATGGGCACTATTTCGACTGAACCAACAATCTGAGGAATATTTTTAATATTGAAAAATTTTATGGACAAAAACATTAAAAATGTTTTTAATAAATACATTTTATAAACTCAACTCCAAAATAAAAATTTAACATGAACTTCTCAGAATTTTTTAGGTTTACAGTAGTTTTCCAAATGGTTATAAAAGCCATATATTAAACTATGGAATTAAATAATGTAACTGATAATTTTAAACTGTGCGCGCAAGATGGAAATATGACGAAAATTATTGTCACAAAGCAGATTAAATTATAAAAGTATTTGTGGCAATACAAACTTTCTGATTACGATTTCAAACAGCAGTTATATTATGTAGTCAGCTGGTAAAAAGTTGGTAAGTAATTGCTTTTAAAATAAATAAGTTATCCCAATTCTTGCAACGGTCACCTATTCGAACATCTTATGGGTTTTAAGGTGTACGAGTCCCCTTAAATGAAGGAATACTTTTTTTCTTTTAAGATCCTTTAAATTTACTCGTAAGAAAAGGTTTACTAGAACTAATGTTAACTGTAGTAATAAATATAATCTTCCCTTTCAAAAATTTAAAGTTTTTATAACAACTGGCTAAAGAACAACACATTTAGTATAACTAAAAAATGCGATGCCTAAGATTATATTTTCAAACAAAATGAATTTAGATTTTCAGTTGTTAAAAGTTTGCTTGTAAAAATTGACTCGAAAAGTCAGTTCAAATTGAGATACATCGTGCTCTCTCTTCTTAAAAACTCATTAACACTTAGACGGTGTTAGAGATTCGCATTTTAAGCGCCAGTATAATTTGTAAGTACGCAAATTTTTATCTAGTATGCCAAATTTTAAAGCTCTACAAATATCTTCTTTAATATAATTAATTACTGTATACATAGTAAAATAACAATAAAATAAATTAATAAGTAATTGACAGTATAAATCAAAAATACCTTTTTATAAACATCACTTGTTTAGCATTTTAATACTTACTTTTTCTATTAATTAAATATTTATACAGCGTAAAACTACTTAAATAAATAAAATATTTATCTGCATTAAGTATTGTTATAAATAAAAATTTATATTCAGACGTAGCTTTGTTTTCAATAATTATAATTCCCTTAATTATAAATAAATTTAGTTTAGTAGGTAGTTTAAGGGACAACATGTAGGTAGTTTAAGGGGTTATAAAATTAGTAATAATTATTACTGTATACATAGTAAAATAACAATAAAATAAATTAATAAGAATTGACAGTATAAATCAAAAATACCTTTTTATACACATCACTTGTTTAGCATTTTAATACTTACTTTTTCTATTAATTAAATATTTATGCAGCGTAAAACTACTTAAATAAATAAAATATTTATCTGCATTAAGTATTGTTATAAATAAAAATTTATAGTTTAAAAGTAAAACGATATTGATGTGTATTTATTTAACTATCCATTTGCATCAAAATCTTGTTAAATTTACTCATGTGGAAATATTATCAATAAATTTTTATGTGAAGAAAATGCACAGTAAAACGTCTTTTCTCGAGCAATTTCTAAATTTTAAAAACCTTTAAACTCTTCCTACTCATCCAGATACTGTGAAGTTCAAATGAATTTGAAATTTCGAAGCAAGGGAATAACTAACTATGAAAAAGATACTCGATTTTAAATATGAAATTTAAATTAACAAATCTTAGATTGGCTTTAGATTTCAGACGTAGCTTTATTTTCATTAATTAATAATTCCCTTAATTATAAATAAATTTAGTTTAGTAGGTAGTTTAAGGGGACATACGACATAAAAATTTTCAAATTTTCGAATTTTCAATTTTGGGCGAGAAAAATAAAGTAGACTCAGACCATTCCAAAATATATAATTTATGCATGCTTCGAATTTTAAAGGCCGAATCTCTCATTTAAAATGTAAACAAGCAACTGGCACGCCCACAAGTTTAGAGGGACAGATGTTTTAAATTCCATTATCGCTTGCACATACAGATGTTTTAGCAGTTTTATTACTCCTTGGTCAGAATATGATTCTTTGAAAGGCATTTGGCAACACGTTTTTAAATTGGCTTATTCACTAAGCTGTGTGGTGGATAATTGTCAAATTTCGTATTTACAACTTGGCTTTGTTTATTTTGTGTTTCACTATTCTTTTCGTTCTTTTTCATTTAAATTCGTGCTTTCTGTGTTTATTTTTGATTGTTTTATTGTGTTATGTTAGTGAATAAAAGTTTTAAATAAGGGAATGCCAAGAAAAAATCATTCGGGAAAGAAAATATATCGGACATCAATATGTGAAAGATGTTACCCATAACGTAAGTAATTCTGCCCTAAATATGAGTGCATCTGAGATATGAGTGCAAGTATAATAATAAATATGAGTAAAGATGATTATGGTATAAATATGAGTGCAAGATGCTTATGGTGCAGGAAAATATTTAAATGATATTTTATAAATTATTAGTGTTTAAATGTTTTTTTCGTTTTTCTCAAAATGTTTTTTTTTTAACTTCGGTACATTTTTCTTGAAAACTATTCGACCTGGAAGGTTCCAATTTTCCATAGTTGTTTATCATTACTATTTCTTTGAAATTATGCAGGATATAAAATTTACGAGCATTAATATAAGATATATTAATAATTTAATACTAATTTTTTTGTGATTTTTCAAAGCATTTTACTAATTTGTTTTTAATATTTTTCTTTTTAAGTAAAATATAAAATACTGCTTATTATTCTTAAATGATATGTTTTTAACTACCATGCTCGATTTGAGGACGATTGGTGCAGTACTTTTTAAGAAAACTGTACCGATCTAGCACATTGTCAGAAGAGATTCGTCAAAGGTAAGTAAAATAAAACAACTGGTTTTTAAACATATTAGGCATTTAATATATATTTTATGTGTTTTCTGTAATCTGTAATCTATGCATTTTAAATGAAAAAAAGAATCAAGTGTATACGTTTATTTTGAGAAAAGTTATACCTTAATAACTTTCGTCTCGAAATTGCCAGTCGACATGTCGCATGTCCTCAAGCTAAATTTTATTTTACTTTAAAAGAGATTGATAAGTAGGAAATAAAAAAAAAAATACTAGCGTAACTAACTCTAGCTAACACAGTTTTCATATTCTTTATTTTTTAACTTTATTACCGGAAAAGCAGCTCCTATTGAAATGTATCTTTCCCCCTAAGCATTTCAGTACTTGGACGCATAGTTCGAAATAGCTATATAATAAATGAAAAATTTAAAATACGTATGTTTCTTATGTCAGGGTTTTAAAAACGATACCTGCTGGCTTTCTTTAAATCCTGATTCTAGTTTTCTAATTACGATTTTTTTCACAATAAAAGAAAGAAATTTTTAAAACCTGTTTGAATGTTGCAGGTGGAAAAGTTCTTTAAGCACAGCGTCTGTCTTTGTAAATGATCCTGACCAGTAAGTCATTCATTTTGTTTTAATAAATTAAATGTATAAAATTCCGTGCACTTTACATCAAATTTATAGTGATATAATATTTATATGTAATTGTTACCTGCATGCGGTCATTTATGAATTTAACAGTATTTTAATCCATTTGGTTAAAACAGTATTTCTGCAATCCATTTTCATTAGGTAGTATTCATAGTATTGTTTTCAATAACATTGGATGAAAAGCTCTCAAAACTCGAAACATCTGCCTTGCAATTGCTCCCTAAAGTTTACAAAAAAACATTAAATTTCTATCGATAATGGGCATTAAAACGTGATCTAGATCAATTAATTTATTCTTGAATTACGTCTACAAATTTATCAGTTGAAGAATAAAACTTCTTATTTAACTTAGCAAATGTGTATTGAATATTTTATTAAATGGAATTTTTGTTCCACAAGAACCATGTAAAAGTTGAATTTTGTTTCTGACAATCCTCCTGTCTACAGTTTAAGAACTGTCTCATAAATCTCTACCCTATTTTGAAACATTTTATTTTAAATACCGATACTTGATATCCCTTTTATACTAAAATTCCTTTTAGTATAAAAGGAATATCAAGTATCGGTATTTAAAGAAGTAAGCCTGTGAGCCTCATCCGAATATTCTCTGTTATGTTAATTAAATTTAGGTATGAAAATTGGTTTCAAAGTAAACGATGTATTGTATAATTTGACAAAGCCTTTTATACCCTAATTTTGAATCATTCCAAAAACTTTCTACTTTTTTTTTAATTTGAAAACATACATACTCCCCGGGCAACGCGTATGTACGACACGGGGCTTACAGAAGTAAGTTAACAAAAATATTAAAAGTTACATGCATAAATAAAAAGAACAAAACCATAGAACAGCAGTCTGGACTTTCCGAAAACAGTTCACTAGAAGAGGAAGATCAGTGAAGGGGACAATTTCATTTATGCACTCTTCCAAAGTATCAGTTGCCAATGACTCGAAATTATTATTCTTATATGCAATTCCAAAATCGATAGACAGAACTCCTGCAAGAACAAAAGTACCCTCATAGCTTAAGGTTCTATAACCAGTAAAAATACGAAGAAGAATTCTCCGTTGAATTTTTCTCAAATTTCTTTTGTTAACCTTCTTTGCAAGAACATGTTCCCAAGCACGACAGCCGTATGAAATGAAAGGTACAATACACTGTTATGTGTAACGGAACAGTTTTTTTGCCTATTTTAAAATTTATATAAAATATGAAAACAACGTCTAGGGAAATAAATAAGATCTCTAGGTTAATTTTTGAAATCAAATTTGATTCCAAACATTCTAAAGACCTGTTCTGCTAAACATCGTCAGTCGTATTCTTGAAGTTTGTTCCATTACTCCAACTGCTGTTCTGCTGACAGTACAATGAAATTTCTGAAGTGTAAATAACGCAGGAAAGTTTTTACTGTAACACTCGTGAGGCAGCAATGATGAAGAAAGTTTGCAGGAGTATACAATATTTGAAACTGTATTCTACAAATTGTATTTTAGAACACACTACAACAATTCAAATTTCTTCCTTATCTCTGTTTCTTCCTTCCCTAATTGTAACAGAAATGCAACTCTGAAATATTTCTTTCTCAGAGAAGAACTCTTTCTTATTTATATCATTGTAGTCAGAATTTAATTTGTCCTTGTATTTTTCATTCAAAAGTTCTATGAAGGAAAGAAGGCAATAATAACAGAAATGCTACTGTTTCTCTCTCTCAGCGATGAACTCTTTCTTATTTATGTCACTGTAATCAAAATTTAATTTATACTTGCATTTTTCATAAAAAAGTTCTGTGAAGGAAGAAATTTAAAGCTAGCGCATGAAACTGTTGAAATCCTTTTATAATTTCTTTGAATAATCTATTCCATTGTAAAATATTATCTCTCTTCAATTCATTTTCGTACGACAATTTAGCGTCTCTTGATTTTTCGCATCAGCAGTGACTGCCTGGATTGATAAGATGAATAAATACTGATAGTTCGACCTGCAATCAAAATCTGCGAGAATAGGCATAAGCATTTTCATTGTTTACCTGATGTTTCATTATTACTTAAGGTAGGATACGAAATTTTAGTGTGAATATGAGCCAGTTTCCAATATTCAATCCCTCAGAGGAGAGCTTTAGTCTTTCACGAACATATACTCGCAGTGAGCTGTATCGCGATACAATAAATCATCCTACTTCTTTCTGCATTGAGAATGCATGAACAATCCCCTAAAATATGTTTCACATGAAAAATATAGTCCTCAAAATCTTTCGTTCTCCTTTAGCTACGCCACTCGTACGAAGGGTGCTCCTCCTCAGGCAAATATACCAAAGCATATGCTTATCCTAATAAACCCATAAATCCAATCCAATTAAATTTCATTGCTTCGAGAGTAAAGGTCCATTACAAATATTATAGTTATTCCAAAGTGTATAATTAGTTATATAAGAATAAAACTTGCTTTAAAAATTAATGCTAATTTAATAAAACTGCTTCCTAAAATGTGATAATGGCTTAAAAGTGTGAAGTAATTATCTGATACGAAAGCATTATAGTCTGCCGAGCTAATAATCAACCATTCATATATCCATACTTCAGGAAGGTACAGTCTTGAGCTTAAATTTGTATCACTTATTTTCTGTTTTTCAGCTAAACCACTATGTATGGTAGAACATAGTAGTATCACCAATGTTTAATGAAAAAGCTTGCCTGCCCTAAACATTGTATGAAGCAAGTGGACTAAATATGAAATATTACATTAAATTCTTTATAACATTACATTTTACCCAAATAATAAACTGATAAGTAAGTTTTTACTAGAAATCCACTTACTTGTCTTTCAAAAGAATATCTGTCAGTGCAGGTAACAATGTCTGTAGTTTCACGAAGCCTTTTGAATCTCGTTCTTCAACCTTATGAAGAATCTAAGTATTAATACATAGCTTACCAAAATGAATTTTCTCTTTAACTACTTACAACTTTTGCTAAAAGAGACAAGACAGTTGAAGTTTTGATATCTTGTCAAAAATCTTTTCCGTTGTATTAAAAATTTAAACTAAAAGTTATATAATAATTGCTTTTTTAACTAATGTACAGTAAAATTATATTTATTCGGATTGCTGCTATTCAGAAATTCAACAATCCAAATAATTTATTCCTTCTAAGTTGAACAAATTGTGCTCATTGTTAATTTAATGATGTGATTTTAATGTTTTAGATACTTTCTTTCTTTCCACCGGCGTTGGAGCAGCCTGTCCATTGGGGCAATTAGCATAACCTCCAGATAGCCCCGCTAACGGAATTAACTTTGTTACAATAGCTTATGAATTGCAGTCTTCCCAGGCCTATGCTTGTCGAAAACGGGAAGGAAACTGATGTGTTCCAGTTCTTGCAAAAGTCCACATAACACACTTTGGTGCGCAAGTCGAGTGCTGGGGGTTGCAAAATAAATGCTGGGCCAGTCAATGATTCAGGGATGGTGGAAAGGTGCAATGCGGGTGAGTAGAACAATTTCAGTTTCCACATGTACAGAACTATAGATAGATAGTTACAACTTAAATACTGTAAATGGGCTTCCACAAAGGGAACAATAAATGAGTTCTGTAGATAGAATATGGGTGAAGGTAAGACTAAATTGCAATCAGCTAAAGAGTACATTAAGTATGACTATGAACAATTAAAGAGTTACTGATAAAAATGTTATAATACATTAAATAAGGCAGTATATACAATTCAAGGTTGGTCAACAGGAAAAAAGAATTAAATAGAAAAAGCTAAATTTAAATAAAATACATTAAATGCAAGTACAAAACATACAAGGCCTGTGCTGGCGACGAGGATGGTAGCTGAAAGTTATTCTAGCCTGTCTGAGATATTACGAGCGATCTTAATGCAATCACATATGCGTTTCAAAGCATAGCAATTTTTCGAAGTACCTTCGGCCCATGCATGGATAAGGTCCGCTGCTGGCTGTCTAAGGTGATGTTCTGCAGACTCTCTGGAAACGAACACATAGTGACCCGGATCTCCTGCCATCCTGCATGAGCACTGGTAGTTTTCACATTGTCTAAAGCAATGCAGATAAGTCATAAAGGACCCATGCCCAGTTAGAAACTGATTAAAGTTAGGTGAGCCACTTCTTAGAAGCTGATCGACTTTTGGAAAAAATTTGTAGATTCCATTGGCAATATTCTCTGCCTTCCACAAATATTGCCAATACTTCAATCATTCTCTTTCAACCTCGTCTTTTGAGAACAAACCTGGAAGAGATATATCAAGTGTGCGAACGTGGGGTTCAGTCGCTGCTCTTTTGGCTGTTGCACCCGCAATTTTGTTAGCTATTATTCCGGAGTGGGCAGGTACACACTGGAGTTTGGGCTTACGGTTGTTTGGTGTATTTATTAAGAGTTTTTGAGTGGCCTTGACGAATGGATTTTTGCAGCATGTGCCTTGGATTGCCTGGAAGCTAGAGGCTGAGTCTATAAATATTGGAATAATTATTTTCCACTGCAAAGACAAATGCAGTTTTTAATTCAATTTATTCAGCCTGGAAAACTGTGCTATCTGAGCTTTCATTCTCAGGTCTTTAAGATGTGGTTTTCATGTTCAATATCCGCTACCAATGCAACATTCTCCTTCGGAACCATCGGTGTAGATTGCAATGGCTTTGAACCACGCCGGCGACTTACAGATAATAGGAATATTGAATTCAGCCGGGTGACAAGGTGGCTCGTCGGGAATACTTTGCTCACAGTCAGTATAAGTCCTATCCCACAAACTTGTCTCTTTACGTCGGAGCACATACACTATTTCACTGTCGAGCTGAACTAAGAGATGCAAAGGCGGCAGTCCTGAAATCTCTTTTAATGCATTAGTATGCGAGGCTTTGTACCTTCGGGAAATGCTTAGAAGGAATGGTCTTTGTGCTGAGCATAGCAGATTTTGTATTTTAGTAGTGACAGTTATGACTCGTATGGAGGCTCCAATCTAGTGCAATGCGCTCTGCAACTACTGAGTACCACGTCCTAAGCATCTTCGAAGAAACTCACCATGTTGGTGCTGCTGTCCTGAGCATGGAATGAAATAACCTGTGAAATCGTCCGTTGACCTCCTTTAAATGTGGTATCCAGATGTAAATGTGGTCATCAATTATAATTCCAAAGCATCTCCCGTTTCTAGCTATTTTAATATTTTTGCCATGAAGGTTGATCTCCGATGGCGCTTACCTAGGCAAATAGGCATACCTTGGATTTTTGAATTGGCAGTAATTAACTTATGGTCATTGGCCCATTTGTCTATCTCGCCAATTGTTTCTTGCTCTCTAGTCTCAAATGCGTTGTTGCGGGTGTGCCGTTTGGTAACGAGCAAAACGTCCTCTGCATAAGCCAATATTTCCCTGTAAGGATCTGTATTAAATTGATTCAGTGCTGTGTCAGCTACAAGAGTCTATATTAGTGAACCCAAACAGGATCCTTGAGAACAGCCTCTATTGATTGATCGTGAGTGCACACCTATGTCTGTTGTGGCTTGTTACATTAGGTAACCAGTTTCTCTGGGCAATCCATGTCCTATAATCTCTTGAGTACGTCGGGCCACCACAACGAATCGAATGTGCTCTGTATGTCAACAGAAATAATGAAATTGTGTTGATTATCTCTTCCGTTATTTACTATCATTTTTCGTAAATGTTGCAGCGCTTAATCCACCGATCTGCCAGAAACGAAACCATACTGCTTTGCATTTATACTTTATCCAGACAGAATGTAGTGTTTCGATCTTTGAAAGACAACTTCTCAAGTGCTTTTCTCAAGGCGGGCAGGAAGCAAATGGGCCGATAGTACGTCGGTACATCACAGTTTTTGTTCGCTTTAAGGAAGAGCGCCACTTCAGCAAGTTCCTTTCCGCATGGGAAATGCCTATTGGGGCCAGCACGCAGATAAGTAAGTAAACAGTATCACCAAATGCATGCTGTTACTATCTTTCAGAATTCCATTGTCTACAGGACCTAGGGCTTTGTTGGGGTTCAATGCTTTTATAATGTTGCCCATTTCTTTGGCGGTTGGCAGCGGCTCTGTATCTCTTTTCTTGGTTTTGTAATATTGACTCTGATATTTCTTTGTGCGGGATTATCAGTGTCTATGTTATCAGGTCTGAAATTATTGTCCAGAATGTACTCGACTACTTCTGTGCCAGTTGCTGCTCCATGGCTTATTGTAGCCGTAAACCTAGAAGGTGTAAGCATGTTATCATGTGCAAACGGTAGACAGTTCCAAACTTCACTTTTGCAATCTGTCTTTTACAAGCATCTCTGTGCTTTCGAAATATTAGCGAGTGTGTCGCTCTTTCTGTGGAATCCTTACACGCATTCGACTCCTTAACGCACGGGTTTTGCTGCATTCTGAAGTCAGCGTGGAGTTCCACAGGGATGCATTTCGCGGCAGCATAATTTTTCCTTTTCAAGACTATGGTCGGAGCTAAGCAAGTATATTGGCACAAGAGAATTTATAGTTAATATTGACGAAACTTTCAAGTTAGCTAATGAAATAGGGTTGGATAGTATAAAGGGACAGGGTACTGAAGAATTAGTGCAAGTTATTTACTGAAAGTTACTGATTACATTATTACTGAAAGTATTTCCAACGACGATCTTAAAAAATTATTTGAACAAAATGTGTACGAAGATGATGAAATTAACTTTTCATAAAATGAATAGCAAAAGAAACTATCAATGTATTTTCTAAAACGACATTTAGCCACTATAACGAAATTTATGGAGCAGTTTATAGAAAATGATAAATTTTGACAGAACTTCAAACACAAGACGAAGTATCATTGATGCGATATCTTGCTATCGACAACTGATTGCTGAATGAAATAGGAAAAGGCAAACGACACTTAATGGTGGAAAACAAAATTCTCAAACCTTCTTCATCAAAAACACAGCTTCTTTACTCGAACTTTTTTTTTTATTTTCATTAAATTTTGTGAATAAAAATTGATATTAGCAATAAATAATCCTATAATCAATGTAATAAAAAATTATTTAACAGTAATTTTTAACAGTAAATTTTACAAAATAAAACAAAAAACACTGACGAATTTTTCTTATTTTTCCTTCAGTTTCACTTATCTGTATTTATTTATTAAACTAACCTCGTTTAACGCAATTTTATTAACGCGTTTATTGCTGGAACTTATTGGAACGTAGCTCCAATGTTAAACGGGATCTTACTGTGATTGCACTGAATAATTTTGTCCGAAAAAGTGAGCTTTGTAATCTGTTTTAAAAAAATGAAAATATATTACATTTTTGTATCTGAGTATTCTTCATTCAAATGGGATAAATTGAAAAATGATAATAATGATAAATAAATAGTATTCTCTCACTTATCTTACACTAAGTACGTAATTAATTAACAGAAAATGTTTCATTCAGTTTTTCGAATATCTAAGCAAGTGTTTTTAATTAATTTTAATGTTCTGAGCTCTTACTGTACTGTAAAGATTTTAAAATTGATATATTGCTTCAATTTCTTTAAAACCTTCCAAAGTTTTTAATCAAAAGCTTTGATAAAAGGAATCTTAATTTAAATATATTTAAATATAAGCATCCTTTTTTTCAGTTTATTGGAAATATCGAAAAATTTATGGACTAACATATATCATTTATGCTTATTTAAATTAATATACATTTAGTGTTAAAGTTAACTAAGACTCACTATATTTTAACAACAAGTAATGTAAGGCATTTAAACTTCTGGCAGTCTAATTTTCAATTTACAATTATTGTTACACACTAGTTGTAAGACTAGCAAAATCAAATTTGCTTTATATCTGTTTTATGCTATTTATGAGAGCTGTGCGGATTGTTCTTGTAAACTTCATAACTTCATAACTTGTAGGACTTCATAACTTCAGAAATGAACTTTTTATATAATTTATATAAATAGAATGATTTTTTGCACTCATTGAATAGCTCAGAATGCTTATTTGACTACAAAAGCAGCAACCATATGTTTTCGAAAAGATTCTTTCACCCAGATCTTGCGAAATTCATTTGCGAATTTTTTTCCTTAAGATCTTTCTGTTGGAATGACTGTATAGGAACTGCAGAAGGCTAAGAAGTCAGTGTAACAAATGCAATTCAAATGCATGCAAACGAAGAAATTCTTTTCGTAATTCTGTAACGAATTAAATATTAATTTAATCTCAAAAAATTCTCTTTGTAATATGCTTGCATCTACTGTGTGACTGTAGCTATCTTTATTAACCATCATGATGCCTTTTAGAGTCTTCTGTTTGTATCACAATTAATATTAAAAATATGGCCCGCGTTCATGATTAATGATTGTAGCTGTATAGGGTAGAGCTTTCAATACTGCAATCAGAATTTCCGAAATGTTATAGAGCATTTCACATCTTCAACAGTTCTTGGATTATAGATGTCCATTTTCTCTTTTCCGAGCTCCACAGAATGAAGTCCAGATACAAAAAAAAATGTCTTGAGATCTAAAAGGCAACTTTCTCTTGAAAATAAAAGAGCATCTTAGGTAAAACAGATAAATTTGAGATCTTTCAAAATCAATACTTCTGTAATTCAGATTAAGTTATCATATTCCCCCATTTTTTATTAATTTTATTGTCTGAAAACCTAGAGGGGAATGCGAAAAATTTCATTTCCCAAGGACACAGTTGCAGTAATAACATAACAAATAAAAAGTAATCATAGGTAAACTACGAGTAACTAAAACAAATGTTATTTCTTTGAGAGAAATCTGTATTCCATGGTAATATTAACATTCATGTTAATATTAACAAATAATAATAAAGCTCTAGGGGTATAACTCTAGGGGTAAAAATGTTCGATGTTACGATGAACTTTCGTTTAACCATTTTAAGGACTTATATCCTTCTTATTCGGACTTGTTTTTTAGAATTTTGATTAATATCAAAATGTGCATGCTCTTTACACTGTTTAGAATTCACTAAATCATTTCTTTTGATATTTTTCTATCTCTGTATTAAACATAGCATTTTGCTTCCTAAAATAATCTTCCTTGGGCAATTCCAATTCTCTTCTTAGTAACTTTCGTTAAATAAATCGCCGTTAACTAAAATTCTTTGTTTTTTTTTTTTTTTTTTTTTTTTTTTTTTTTTTTTTTACTTTTAAACGAAATTAATCACTATGACCTTGACAACTAAAAATATTTGTATATTACTTTTGGCGTATATTTACCCATAATTCTTCTCTCTTTCTTACCCGGGACACACTTTGCAGTTACTTATTTTGCTATTAAGTAAACATTATAAGCTATTCATTAAAGGTAAAAATAAATCACTCTTTTTCTAGATATTATAATAATAATTCTAAAGTTATGATTTCCTGACTATTTTAAATTTTGTAGCAAGCAGGTAAAATAAAGATTCCTAGTAAATCAATAGCCTGATACAAAGTGCAAAGATTTAATTTGAAATTATTCCTTTGAATTTTTTCCCTTTGATATTCAGTTACCTTTGTTTTACTTATAAGTAAAGGCAAATTTAAACCTTTTCTCATTTTTTTATTAATAGCAGGTATAATACAGTTTCTAAATGGTTTTTAACTTACATTAATTTTCTCAATTTCGAGAAATTCAATTTTTTACTTACCTCCTTAATAAAATTTCGGATCTCTGCCTTCCTTGGAACACGTCCCAGGGCTCTCACAATGATTTCAATGTTCCTAAAGAAACTTCGTATTAGAATACACTTGTACTCAAACATAAAGATTGCCAAAGTACAGACAAAAGTCTAGTAGTGATATGCTTAAATAATCTTAAAATTTAAATTAAGCTTCTGTGGAATAGAAAATATTATTATCTGTCACAGTTAAATATTCACTTTTTTATTTAACAAGTCTTTGCTAAATTTTAATAAAAACTATAGAATTTTTTAATTTTCATAAACTGCTTGGAAGATTTTTCAAAAAAGTAAAATATAATCCAAAAACATCAAAGACACGGAGATGAGAACTGTAGAATTTGCAAATCAATAATTTTTATTCCTTAAATTACATAGTCTGAGAACAGCAGACTCAGAATATTACTTTTTGATGTACTAAATATTTGGGAGCATTCAGTCAGTGCCTGGATTGTAGGAAAGACTCAAACTTTTAATAAAAGCGAATAACATGTTTTCCTACATTAAATGGAGAATGAAAGGTCGCCATAAAAGTATAAAATCGTCTCAAAGATATAAAATTCTCACTCGGAAACAAAGAGTGAACTTTATATTTGTTACTGAGTTATTAAATTTTACATTTGAAATCGAAACTAACAGAAATGAACATTATTTTTATTTATAATTGGTAAACAATTTTGTACTTCTTGCATCATCGGTTAGAATTTTTTCATTAGATTTCCACTTAATCTGAAATCCCTCAAGTGACTGAATCATTATGATCTCTGTACATGGGTAGTTCAACCAGAGTTCGATCCCAGGTGAATGGGCTGACTGCATGATTCAGTTTCGAAGTTTACCGCATGTGTAACGTAAATACGAACCAGCTCCTCTAAGAAAATCCTCCCTCCATCCCTTCCCTTAGGCAAATAGTCCTAGTGAGGCTTTGCCGTATTCAGGTAACCTAATATCAATTTAATCCAATAGAACTTTCATTAACCTTCCAGCACCTTCGCTCGGCAATTTTACACGAGCACGCGCGCGCCGTATTTTTTACCACATCCGTTATTTTACTGTTTTTGTTGGCACGAAAACGACCGAAATGAGTGAATATTGATAATAAATTTGTTAAGAAATAAAATTTTAATCTTTTTATTGCAAAATACAAATGATATCACATTCAAATATAAGTAAATTATTTTTAAGTTTATAACGTTGCGCGCCTACAACTTGCACGCAACCAAGGGTGACTGTGAAAGCTTGTATACACCACAGAGTCTTGTAAAGGGTTTAAGTCCCTTTTTATTCAACGTAATGAATTACAATTGCGTTCTCTTAACGCTTACAAACGGTGCCAACTCGGCAGTCAAAATAAAAATAAGAACCTGAAAAGAAAGTAAAGACAAGATTCTAACTACGAGGCTCTCTAAAATAACTAACTCACCGCGTTTTACAATACCGCTGCTAATTCAGCAGACTTGAAGCTCACTGGAACAATTGCAACTACTTCCCGCCAAGCACATAGGCCGCAACGCGGGGTTCTTCAATTCTCGATTTCTACCTCCGCGCTCGCTAAGTAAGAATAACTCTCTCACCGAACTCGTTTCCTTCTATTTAAATCATAATACTTCCGCTGATAATTTGAATCCTTGCGCGTTCTACTCAAATTTACATATTCTGGCATTGGCAGTTCCAGGGGAAAGTAAGGCTTGACAGGAAAGATAGTTTAAACTTAAAATAAATGTTAGTTAAAATAAATATAAACCCTACATTTGCCGCTGCCAGAATTTGGAAAAACTTGGAAGCAGGTCCTACAAACGACCTGTTGTAAGTTTATCTAATTCTGAACTAACTGGCGAAAGCCTCGTTTACACAAAAAAAAATCTTATGTAACAATTATATATTAAAATTCTGTTATTCGTTACAAAGCTTTCTTCTTACAGCAACTTTTCCTGGACTTCATCAATCAATCTTGGTCTTTCCTTCCAGCATCTGGAAGGAATAAGTATCAGTATCTTTCTACATACATTATAATTTACACTTTCTTGACACAATAAATTTTTTTTTTTTTAACGATTCGTTTTTCTTAGTTATTGCTTACTTCACATTCATTCAATTTTTCAAGCATTAATTTAACTTTACCCTGGCTCTCCACCATGTGTGGTGTCAAACGGGAATATTCGTGTTTTAGTCTTACAACACTTCCCCTAACCACCATGATTTGTTAGAATTCAACAACCAAATAGACACACCTTACTCGACATTCTACAACTCAATGAGCTACTTTAATATTCTTAAAAATTCAAATGTAGGTGGAGAACCCTACAAAACACATTCATTCTAACTTCCCCCTCATTCATCTTTAAACATGCAGGCTTTCGCTCTAAAGCATGACTTTATCTACAATTTAATACTTAAATTTTGACTTCATTGCTTTTAAGCATTCACTTTTAGCATCTACAATTTTATGCTTCTAGACTAAATTCTACTTTTACATAACATTCAAGTATTTACATACATTTACAAAAGTTTTAATACATATGCTTTTTACAATTTACCATAAAATGAATAAGAGAAAATAAATTTTTACTTTACTCATTCTTCGCCAAGCTGGCGGCACTGAAAACTAAAATTCTTATTAATACAAGAATACGAAGTTATTTTTATCTCCGGCCAAATTTTGGCTTTAACATAACAGAATTAGTCTTTCGACCAACAGAAAATGCTTGTTTTTAGCTTTTACACTTAAAGAAAATAATACTTTTGCCTTAGCTAAATAAAGTAAAACAAAACTAAGTCTCAACCGAGACATATTGACTTTCGTCAAAACATAGAACTTCGTACTTATGCATAACATTTCGGAACAAAAGAGAAAAAAAAAATTATAGAAGGTTTTAACTTATCTTTGAGTTTTCGATGCTTGAAACTCCGTCATCCGTTTTTGGCAAAATTGATCCCAAGTTAGAGGTGTTCATGGATGTCAATCTTCTCCTTATTGATCTCCGAGTGTCGTCCCCGTTGCTTTTTCTTTTGCGTCCTCTACATGCTGGCCTCTTGACGGAGTAATCGTCTGGTTGTTGGCCTTTGCCGTTTTTCTGCCTGGGACGGCTGGTCTTGACGTCCTCCGGTCTGGAGTCCTTCTTGAATTTCTTCTGTTCCTCGTATTTTTGTGCCTCCTGTTGGCGTTTCAGTTTCCGGAACGGCGGCCTTGCTGGCACCTGACTCTGTGGCCGTGTGCGCGTTCTCCTTGATGTGTAATTTCTCCTGCCATCTTTTGTAGGTGGTGTTTTCGTCTTTACCACGGTTTCTTTACCCGGTTCATCTGTATTTTTGTTTTTCTTAAACGCCGGAGTTTGAAAATCCTTTTTTCTTTTTGATACCGACGTCCGGGTTGTAGAAGTGCTAGGTCTCTCTTCAGTTCTCTGTTTCTTGGGTGGTGGAATAGTTGTTGCAGTCTCTGGCCCTTCTATTTCGTTTAGACTTGAGTCCTGCAAGAAACTTTTAAGGATTTCAAAATCATTTGGATTATAGTATTTTTTCACCTGGTCGGGACTTGCTTTACAGATTTCCCCTCTCTCGTTTTAAGATATAAGACTACTCCTTTGATTTCCTGAATTACATAGGGGCCTTCAAACTTTGGAGCTAGCTTTGCCATAAAATTGTCTGGGGCACTTGATAAAGAAAATTTCCGTTTCAATACTTTATCCCCAACTTTAAAATCTGCTTCACGGCGTTTTCTATCATAATATAATTTTCTGTCTATTTCTTGCCGTATCCGAGGTTTTAAGCGCCTGATCAATTAGCTTTTGCACATCTTTTGTTTAAATTCCTGCTCTCTTTGTTGCACAAAGAATAATTTATCTAAAGGCGTAATTAACTTTCTGCCTAAAAATAATTCTGCTGGAGTTTTTCCCGTCGTAGTATATCATGATGTGCCGTTCTTAAAGCATAAGCTAATTCATTTATGTAGCCATCCCAGCGCTTGTGATGTGTGCTAACGTAACTGCGAATTATTTTTACAATGTTTTTATTAACTCTTTCTGCTATGTTAGCCTGTGGTCTATACGGAACCATTTTGATATGGCGTATATCCAAGTCCATTGCATATGTTTTCAAATATTTGACTAATGAATTGTTTTCCGTTATCGCTAATGACTTTTATCGGTGCACCGTATTTTAAAATGTATCTGTGTAAGAATGCATCTGCGACTGTTTTGGCTGACGCGCGTTTAAGTGGAACAATTTCTATCCATTTTGAAAAATGATCTACTATTACTAAAAGAAAACGATTTTTATTTAACTCGCTCTGGGGGAAGGGGGACCAAGGAGATCTATGCCTAAAATTTCATTCGGAAATGTAGCGCGAATGCTATTTAAGTACCCGGCCGGGCTGTAATTAATATCATTTATTAACTGACATTGATTGCAGGACCTGACATACGCCGTTACTATTTTGTATAATTGCGGGAAATATACCGCCTCGCGTACCCTTTTTATAAGTCTTTCTGACCCCGAGGTGGCCCGCTGTTTTTTTTTCGTGCAACTCCTTCAAAATGCTTAATCGAAGCGAGGCTGGGATGACTGGCTTATACTCAAGATTTTCGTTTGTTGTTTTCGTATAGAATAATAAATTATCTATTATTTCATAGTTTTTTGCTCTATTTCTTATCGCATCGATATCTGTATGCTCAAAGCTTTCGGGGTCTTTCAAATAAGCATAGATATTTCCAAATTCAGGATCAGCTTTCAGTTCAGTAATAACCGTATCTCTAGAATCTAAAATTTTTGAAGTCAACACAGCGCATTTAAGTTCATTTCCTTCATCGTCCAGTTTTATACGAGAAAGTGCGTCAGCTACATTGTTTTCCTTACCCGGTTTATATTTTATTGTGATATTATATTCTTGGAGTTTTAAAGCCCATCTTATTAACCTGGGCGTTAGGTTTTTTCCCGAGTAAAGTCTACCAACAGCCGCATGATCCGAAAAGACTGTTACTGGCGATTTGCCGAAATAAACTCGAAATTTGTGTACAGCCATTAATACGGCTAATGTTTCTCTTTCTGTAGCTGTATAATTCCTTTGTGTCTGATTCAACGTTTTACTAAAAAAATGCCAGCGGATGGTTATTTTGCATAAGAACCGCACCCACCGCATAGTCTGACGCATCTGCCGCAATTTCCAGGTTTTCGTCCCCCTCAGGGAATTTTAAAACAGGGGCATTAATAAGCGCTTCTTTTAATCTTTCAAAAGCTGTGTTAGCTTCCGCTGTCCACGTAAATTTACTCTTTTTTCTTTTGATTACTAAGAGTGGTTCAACAATATTAGCGAAATCTTTTATGAAAGATCGATAGTAAGAACATAATCCAAGGAAAGACGAAAGTTTCTTGGCGGTGTTGGGCGGTGGGAAATTCTTAATAGCTTTTATTTTTGAATCTTGCGTTTCTATACCCTTTTGCGAAATTTTATAACCGAGATATTTAAGTTCTTTAGTTGCGAACTTGCATTTTGAGGCGTTAATTGTAAGACCGGCCTCTTTTAATAATTTAAAAAACTTGTTCGAGGTCATTAATGTGTTGTTCCAACGTACTACTCGTTATAATTATATCATCTAGATAAATTAAAGTTGATTTTCCTAGGACAGGCTTTAGAACAATGTCCATAGCTCTCTGGAATGTTGATGGGGCCCCACACAACCCAAAAGGGCATGCGTAAAAATGCATAAGTGCCCGATTTTGTTATAAACGCGGTTTTATGTATATCTTCGGGTCTCATAGCTATTTGATAGTAGCCAGACGTTAAGTCCAAAGTAGACATATATCTCGTCGATTTGATCTGTCTAATGATCTCGTCTATAACCGGCAAAGGGTAAACTGGAAATTTAGTTAATACTATTTAGTTTTCTGTAATCGATAGCAAACCTCCAAGCCCTTTTATCCGAAGGAGGAAACTCGTTCTTTTTCCTACATAGTACGACTGGACTCGCGTATTCACTATTTATGGGCGTTATTATTTTATTCTTTAACATCTCCTGAATATGTTCTTCGATGATTAAGTCTTTTTGTTTGTCATAGCGATAAGGTTTAGTCCTACAAGGTTTTTCGGCATTTAATTGAATCTTGTGAGTCACGATTTGACAGTTTCCCGGTTTTTCTGAAAACAAATGAGAAAAATTACTCACCACTTGCTGTATTGCTTTACTTTCCTGGTCATTCAGATGGCTAAGGTCCAATTGCAGGTGTCTCCACAGGTTCCACCACCCTCTGGTCCATCTCCAGCACCACGGAACTATCTTGAAAATTTAATTTGGCCCTCGCGGCCCTTAAAAAGTCCATACCTAAAATAAGAGAGTGTTGGAGGTGTTTCACCACAAAAATTAATACTTTGAGATTTTCCTCTTTTACCTGTAAGTTTAATGATACTTTCCCGATGCAGTGACATGTTTTTCCTTGCGCCGCTATAATTTCCGTATTTCTGGTTTTAAATAGTCGTATCCTATAAAAATTCTTTTTGAAGAACTTTTCACTCATGAAATTTCCTTCTGCTCCTGTATCGATGAGGGCTTCTACTGGTACATCGCCAACCAGGACTTGTATAATTGGTAGCTGTGAGTTTTTTACGATGACCGTATTTAGATGTCTATTTGAGGGTTTTTTAAAACTTCCGGGGTCTGGACCCTCCCTTTCACAGGCCCCTCTAGTCGTTTAAAGCTTTCCTTTCAATCTGTGTCTTCTGGGTACGCGGATGCTTATTTTCAAATTTTCTTTTTGGGCCTTGACCTTCGAGTTTCGATGCGTTAGCTTGATAGTTAGTTCTTTCCCCCATATGAGCGATTTCCATTTCTGGTTTCCTCCTTCCTTCTGGTACTTTGAGAATATGTTTCCCCTCTCGCTCTTTCCGCTATTCTGCGATTTTGAAACTTCACCGCCAATTCGAAGAGTTCCTGCAATGTGCTTGGGTTTCTAATTTCAAAGTAGTCTTGGACAGCGGGTAACAATCTTGGTAATATTATTTCAATAATCTCCGCATCGGGTTTTTTCCCATACAGCATATCCGTTAGCTTGATTTTTCGTAAAATAAAGTCCGTCAATTGTGCTGTATCCCGTTGATAGAAACTATATAGCTCGGCTTCCAGCCGTGCGCGATCTTTCACTATGGGGAAGGCCTTTACTAACGATTTTTTGAAATTTTCAAATGTATACGTCGGGCTTCCAAATTCACCTAGTAGAAATTTTCCTATATTTTTCCACCATAGCGCGGCCTGTCCTCTTAGTGCTGATGTGGCGATGGCAACTTTTTGTCTTTCAGGCACAGGGTAGAGCTGAAAGTGGTTTTCTATACCTTCTAAAAATACGGACACCGAATTTTTTCCGTCGAAATAGACGTTTGGCTTGATTGATGCTCTCAAAGTCTGGACCAGGTATCCAAATCCTTCTAACTGAGTTGTCATTTCTTGGTGTTGTCCAGCGGCTTCCATCCAATTTTCGGCCATTTCAGTTCGATAAGTGTTCGGGCGCCAATATAACGTTGCGCGCCTCCAACTTGCACGCAACCAAGAGGTGACTGTGAAAGCTATATAAACCACAGAGTCTTGTAAAGGGTTTAAGTCCCTTTTTATTCAACGTAATAAATTACAATTGCGTTCTCTTGACGCTTACAAACTGGTGCCAACTCGGCAGTCAAAATAAAAATAAGAACCTGAAAAGAAAGTAAAGACAATATTCTAACTACGAGGCTCTCTCAAATAACTAACTCACCGCGTTTTACAATACGGCTGCTAATTCAGCAGACTTGAAGCTCACTGGAACAATTGCAACTACTTCCCGCCAAGCACATAGGCCGCAACGCGGGGTTCTTCAATTCTCGATTTCTACCTCCGCGCTCGCTAAGTAAGAATAACTCTCTCACCGAACTCGTTTCCTTCTATTTAAATCATACTACTTCCGCTGATAATTTGAATCCTTGCGCGTTCTACTCAAATTTACATATTCTGGCATTGGCAGTTCCAGGGGAAAGTAAGGCTTGACAGGAAAGATAGTTTAAACTTAAAATAAATGTTAGTTAAAATAAATATAAACCCTACAAGTTCTTATGTTAGTGAGATGGAAATGCAGTGATGTATTTCATTATAGAAAATTTTAAATTTATTATTTAATAATTATATTTTTAAATCGAAGCTAATTTTAATATTCACCAAAGACAAGTATAGAGAATAAAAAAGGAAAAAGTGCTAAACTTACAAGTAAGTTTAGCAAGGAAATTTACTTCTTACTGGTTAAAATACGCACTTTAAACTAACTTTAATATTATGGAAAGAAAATAAGGAATGGAAATCGCTATTGTTCTCCAATCCAAAGGTTTCCTTGTCTTCCTTTTGCTGCTATTTTTTTTGCCATGAAAACCGATATAAAATTTACAGAGCAAAATGTATTCAAATTAAAATAATATACGGCAATTAATAACACAAAATTACAAAAAATATTTGAGAAAAGAATTATTTCCGAATTTTAAAACACGACCACGCGCGTTTCGTAAATTTTATGAAAAAGCTGTCACGTAGGACAAAAGCCCAGTTAATGAACGTTAAAGCCAGTCAAATGACTTCCTGTTGGCACATTCCATGATGTGAGGAAGGGTAGAAAGGAGGAATAGAAATGACCTTCAGACGTCTAAGCTTCGATATGAAAAAAATGTGCATTAAAAACTGAATTTGTCGTAAATTTTGCGCATACTTGCGTGCTGGGACCTATTTTACTTGTAACTAGGTCAGAGTTGAAAGTTTGGGCTATCTTTCTTGGAACGACATACACTTATGTGGAAAATAAGAGAATTTGAATATTACGTCTATTTTGAGAAAAATATAAAACCAAATGTGCTAATTATGCCTCTGAACAATTATGCAAATATCCAGAGTCGAATAAATAATGCGTGTCTACGGAGTTGTGATTGTGTAGGGGATATAAGCGCACGAGAGGTTTTCGATGATTTGTGAGCTTGTAAGACATTCAAGACATTCGCTCTGTTTCTTTTGCAAGCTGGGTAAAAACGTATGGATGATGGAATGACATGGTGAATTATCAGTAGATGAAGGCAGGCCAGTCACAAGCGCAGGTCGCTGCAAAGCACAATATAAATACCCAGTGTCGTCCGCAATTCGTGGAAACAATTTTAGGACACTGAACCCATATCGAGAAAACCTACGCAAGGTCGACCAAGATCTACAATGACGAATGAGAATCGTTATTTAGCACTTTCAACATAGCGAAACAGAACGGCTACAGCTTCACAGCTCTCACGTAAGCTGTATACTAACCCTGGAACCCAAGTTTCAAAGTCTACAGTTGCCAGAAAGTTTCATGAGATAGGGATGCATGCCAGAAGACCCGCTGTTTGCAGCCCGCTCATTGAAGCACGCAAGAAGCAAGGTGAAGATTACTTGCGCCTTGGTTCAGTGGAGCACATCCGTTTGACAGAGAGTCGAGATTTGGCTGGAGATTGATTCTTGGCGTACCTGTATCTGGAGAGAGATTGGAACATGATATCATCCCTCCTTCATCAGGGAAATTAATCATTACTGTGGTGGAGATGTGATGGTTTGGGCACGCATTATGTTGGATTGCCGCAGACTTCTGCAGGTGTTTGACAAAGGCTCGTTGAATGCTATGTATATAGAGAGGAGATCTTAAAGCCCTATGTTTGACTTTTCAGTGGCGCAGTTTGTCCTGAATTCCTGTGAATGGACGACAACGCTCGTCTACAGTGCATTTAGCCAGTCGACCATTAAATGGAAACTGAGGATATTCGCCGCAGGGATTGGCCAGCCAGATCTCCTGATCTTAAACTATACAATAAGTCTGGAACGCTCTTTGGAGGGCAATTTCATCTCACCATCCTCCCTCTGAGGAGAATCTCGGAGCTGAATTCTACTTTGATGTAGGATTTGGATTGACTGCCGCAGGGACTCCTTAGCTGCATCCTGCCCAATATACCTTCAAGCTGCGTGATCTGTCTGGCTGTGAGAGAGGATCATACCCCATATTAGACTCATTTTCAATTCAATATTACAACGTGGATTTTGGATATACCTGCACTATGCATTTTACTGACAATCGTGCATAAGTAAATTTACTCTTGGATGGTACATCTCTTTCTTTGTTATAAATATATATTCATATTAAGTTTCATTAAAATCTATCCATTAATTTTTAGAATTTTGACATGCATTACAAATTCTCTTAATTTTTGCACTAGGGTGCATAGTGTCCCCAGTCAGTGTCTCTTAAATTTTCTGGTTTGCGATCTTAAATTGTAAAGTTTAATTTTAGCTAAAACGTTATTTTTATGTTAATTCTTTTCTGCATCTTCCGTTTCTTCCGCCCACCATCATCAGAATGCGTATTAACAAGTGAACTTAAAATTTAAATAGTAAGTGAATTTGTAGTTGAAGTGCGTGTTTCGGTAGTCACTCAATATAACTGTCTAGTCTAGGCTACTTAATTTGTAACTTTTTTATAAGTTAATGCATGAATTTAGAATCCAATTTCCGAAGCTGAGTTGATAAATGAAATTTGATTTTGCATTTATTGCTTTAGATATTCGAATTCTTGAAACCAGGTAAGTAGCAACATCTAGTAACTATTCATTTTCATTTATTTCATTGGGCTCACTAGCGGCTGAGCGGTAAAGTCGCTGAACACTGGTAGTTCGGTCCGAGGTTCGAATCCCGCGAACGGGCTGGCTGCATGGGCGTTTTCGTGGTTTTCCACATGTGTAACGTGTTTACGAGCCAGTTTTCCTTAGAAATTCCTCGACGAAGGCATCCCTCCCCTTAGGCAGATAGCCCTAGTGTGCTTTGCCATAATTAAATAACCCAAATCAAACCATTTATTTCACAACATCATATATCGTTAAGTATTACACTTTTCCGTATGTGTTATTGAAGTTTAATTACACTTCTCTATGATGCAATGAATATTTATTAGAGTAATGGAAAGTTAAATAAGTATAAATAATTAGGTTTAAAATTGTAAATTTATTAAGAATTCACGGAGATACTATCTTTTATATTAAAGGGACGGAATGTCTTTCAGATTTAATGAAGGGGCGCAGATTTTTAAAAGAAGGGAATAAAATATAAGTTTAAAACTTCGATTTTCCAAAAAGGCTTATTATTGATGTTGAATCATTACTTTAAGCACTTTTTTTTTATATCCAGTGGCAGATTAGAATACAACTGTAGTCAAAAACACAATTTTATACAAAATTGAAAGAGTAAAGGAGTTAAGAAAAGACATAACAGAAATTATTGTTTGCAGTAAGCTTATCATAATAAATTAAAAGCTCAAGGCATGAAGATATTTTAAAATAGCAGTTCTAACCTTTAAACTACATATTGAATACTCAGAACTCTGCTATTTTAGTGCCAGTGGGATATTAGCACAGAAAAGAGAATTATATTACTTCTGAAAGGATGGCAAATTCTAGGGATTCAAAAATATAGTTTCTAACATTTTTGAGTTGAGTTTCTAAAACATATCATTTGAGGATGTACTTTGTCAAATTCTGCTTGGGAAAGTTCAACGAAATCAATGAAGTTAAAAATTAAGCAGGGCATTTATCTCTTCCCTTTGCTTTAGAGGTCTGTTGTCCAAAAGAAAGACTCTTAAGAGTTGAAATCAATCGAAAATAAAACTGAATTTTCTTTTTAGCCCAAAGGACGTTAATCCAGAAGGTCTATTAATTTCCTTTTGACATTTTGCGTTGAAAACTTTAAATAGTCGTTTCACTTTTCAAGTTGTTGCCACAAATTTTATCGCCCTATGTTATATTTAAAGAAATTAAATAACGAAGAATCTGCATAAATGTATGTATGCTTCTCGCATCGTGATAAAACAACGGTACCTAAAGCCATCAAATTTAAATAACGTAATCCTCCACCGAATATGGGCATCTGAAAGCCCTAATTTAGAATTTGTTTTATTATCGGTTTCATATTTTGTAACACTTCAATGAATTTTTGATTAACACACACAAAAATCTCAAAGCGAGCAATGGCAAACACTGTGCAGTAAAAAAAAAAATAATAATAAATAAAATTAAATTAAAAAAAAAAAAAAACATTTTTAGCTTTAGCGCACGAGACTGTGTAACGGAAATTCTAAAGATATGCTCTATTAAATATTTTGTGATATTGCTGTTGAATTGAATTTTTTTCCTTAAGTGAGATGAGCATGATATTTAATAAATAAAAGTAACACACAAAACGTTAAAAGAAATTGGGGCGTAAATTTGGCCTTTGGCTATAATATATAATCTGAAAACTTTCAGTTTTTTTTTTTTTTTTTTTTTTTTTTTTTTTTTTTTTTTTTTTTTTTTTTTTTTTATTCATTAATCTTTTTATTCATGTCAGATACTTAATACTATATATGCTATGCTGGATTGTAAGTTCTTCAAATTGAGAGTAATAGACAAAAGCGAATACTCTGGATAGCAAGATAAACAGAATGATATGTTAATCGAAATGTAAAAACTTCCTTCAAAAGTTGTTATGTAAGCAGAACTAGGGTTGACCAGATCTGCAAAATCAACTAAGTGTAGAGCAACAAGGATTTGTAGATTTCTACCGTTATGGACGGTTTCTTAGACATATAAAGTATTTCTCCCGCCTTCCTAACGTGCCTTTGTGGTGTAGTGGTCTGCACGCTGAGCCGGTATTTCAGAGGCCTTGATTCGATTCCCGGCGAAGGCTATTGCTTATTTTTCATCTTGTCTGCTTCCAAAAACACCTAATGTCTCTACAGTCATTATACAGATTTGCAAAATCTACTCAAAAATAATGCTAGGCAAAGAAAGAAACAAATATGACAAAAATTTTGTTTAGTCTTACTTAATTTCCGCTTTTCCTGTGTCACTTTGGTCAAATATTCTAAATGCTTCAATTATTTGTTTCTGCGTATTAATTTCGTAAGTACTTAAACCTAAAAGTATTACAAGTAAAATAGAAAAGGAGTACATAACATTTACAGTAAACAATTTGATATGTACACCACATGATTTCCCTGTACGGAATATTAAATTATACACATTTTTTCTTGCATTTCATTTAAACTTATTGGATTGAATTAAATCTACTTCGCCGACAGCGCATAGACCACAATAGAATAAATGCATTCTTTAAAATTCACTCTAGTATTTGTTTACCATAGCGACACTCTGGTGCTAGATTCATTTAACAGTATTATATTTCGTTCATATTATAACTCAGAATGCTCAAAATTTATATTATTTAAAGAATAGAATTATCTAATCGTTGCCACATGTTCTATTCAAATACTATAATAAAGCTAGAATGATGTATAAAAGAAATTAAGCAAACAAAACAAAAAAGAAACACCTTTTCACAGATGATAGAGTATTTCTCATTCAATTACTTCAGTTCTCACTTCGCGAGAAGGCAAAAATACATAAAAACACAAAATATCTATATTAAAAATTACGAAGTAAATCTTAAACATTTATTTCCTCGAAAAAATTCCAGAAAGGATTAAGCATGATTTAATTGGCAAAAATAATAAATGAAGGCGTTATCTTTGTTGTTCCGAAGCTAAGTTTCTCCAGATTGGCAACAAATCCACTAGTCTTCTGTTTCAAATGTAAACAATCAATGGCCGCGATAAAAAAAGGCTGAGCGGCACTTAACAACTTTAAAATTGTTGATAATTCTAAAAATATTGCATACAGATTTACTAAATGCATAAAAACCTTAACCGGAAGATAAAAACAACATAATTCAATCATTTTTAAAGCAAAAAATGTACAATTTACAAACATATACGAGTAAAGAAACTGAGATCACTGAGCAGGGTAACAGGGTGTATATATACATAAATATATTTATACACGTTTGGTGCGGCCGATTGCAACCAAAATACGTACGTACATACGTTCGTACAGACGCCACGAAAAATTCTCTTCAGAATTCATTTTAAAGCACTTTTATAATTTTTTTGGAGGAAAAGAGTCTTTTATTCTGTCCTTACGTACAGATATCACGCAAAAAAACATCGGTAAATTGCATTCGATAGCGGTCAAAATGGATATTTTTCGCTGAATGAAATATGCTGCCTGAAACTTTTCGCGATTACAATAATACTTCCTTTTTACTTCGTACAAGGAAGTAAAAAATTACTTTTTACTTCGTACAAGGAAGTCAAAAATAAATATTTCATAAGACATCTAATGATTCAAAGCATAAAAAACCTTCCTTATAGTTAAATGGCAACAGCAATATTCTACAATTGAAATAACATCTTTCTTACCTTATTTCATTTTAGAAATCTTTGGCCACATAGTAATACTATGAGTTTTGAGAAGAGAAAAGACATTTTGAAAACTTTTACGACGTTTACAAGCTTGTTAGTTTATCTGTTCTAAAATTAGTTATATTTCTGAAAAGACTCAAAAGTTGCATTGCTTCCTTTCCCGTCGCGCATTGAAACTGCAGCAAGTCATTTGATTGGTTTTAATGCCTGTTATTGAGGGTTCCTTCCATACTAATGGGCCCACCAGCAGCCGAGCGGTAAAGACGCTGAACACTGGTAGTTCGGTCCGAGGTTCGAATCCCGCGAACGGGCTGGCTGCATCGGCGTTTTCGTGGTTTTCCTTATGTGTAACGTGTATACGAGCCAGTTTCCCTTAGAAAGTCCTCCACGAAGGCATCACTCCCTTTAGACAGATAGCCCTCGTGTGTTTTGCCATAATTGAATAACCCATCCATACTAGTGAGTTTTATATGTGTTTATAGTGTTTTAAATATGTATCAAAGTATGTTCAGGAAGCTTTCTACAGTAGTGATATTTTCATCGGTTTAATTATAATTCTAGGCTTTTGTTAAAATACGTTTTCTAAAATGCTACAGGTTTTCTGTAAACAGTCCATCCGATTTCTAAACGCTGTATTTCAAAGTATATACATGCAATAATAATGATTCATGAAGAAAGATCAGAAAATTATCGAGGTTTCGGTTAAAATTCCATAATCGGGGTGAGTGCCAAGCTTGGCGAGAGTTTTTTTATTTGGCGCGATTTTAACCTTTTAACTGTCATGCCCGAGATAATCTCGGGCACAGCACTGGTGTTCGAAAATGTCACGCCCGAGTATTACTCGGGGTAATTTTTTTTTTTTTTTTTTTTTTTTTTTTTTTTTAGTTTTTTTTTTTTTTTTTTTTTAGTGCATCGTATTGTTATACACGAATCTATATCGGGAGACGTTTATTCGGCTTTCATCTCTTTGTAAAACCCGACTGTATCTCAGGAAAAGTTAATGTTAATGTGCGCTCAGTTCAATAGATGACAAGCACTTTACTGAAGATTTCAAAGGTTAGAGGTTATAAGTTCTTTGGTTCAAAGTGCATGGGATCTTTTTGTTTTTTTTTTAAAATGGCGTCCAGTTCTTTGAAACGTTATATATAGATGATTTAGATTCTTCAATCGAAGATGAAGGATGTGTGTTTGATGAGCAGTATTCATGATATTTCCATGGTCAGCCTCAAAAAATAAAAAAAATGGAGATAAACTCAAGCCGAAGATTGTTTCTAATTACAGTCTAACTATGGGTGGTGTAGAGATCGCTGTGATTAGGAAATATCATTTATCCAACAATTCGAAAAACGTCAGAAAAAAATATTATATTAAAAAAATATTTTATTTTTCATTTACTAGACAAGGTACTCTGGAACTCATAGTTGCTCTATAAAAATGTAGTTCGAAAACGTATTACATTTTTAGAATTTCAAATCCAAGTTGAAGAAGAGCTTTTACATAAATATGATGGTGCAGCTTCTGGACAAAAGAATGTTGGCAGACTACCTGCAATAGATAACCCTGCCCGTCTTACTGAACGACATTTTATATCCCATATTCTTCCTACTCCTGCGAAACGTGAGCCTAGACAGTGCAAAGTGTGTTGTTCGAAAAAGGATAAAAATGGGGAAAAGATAAGGAAGGAATCACGATTCTGGTGTAGTGATTGTGGAGTTGGTTTGTGCTTGGAAAAGTGTTTCCAGTCCACACATGACTGAATTACTGAACTACTAATAGGTATTCACTTATATTTATTTATTTTTTAGAAAATAATTAATTTTTTTCATTTTTAGAAAATAGTGCTCCATTAGAAGCGAACTTTACAACTGCTATGTTGAGTGGCAGCCGCCTCAAGCAAATACGCAGTGGCTACAAAACTTTAAAAAGTTTACCCATGTACTTCAAAATATCAATTTTTAACTACTTAAGAATGTTTTATTTTGTACTAAGCATTTGATTTTTGCAATAAAAAAATTTGACAATTTGTGTACCCAAATCATCAAAATAACTTGACAGTTAAAGGGTTAATTTGGTTGTGGTTTCCGGCTGTATGTTTTCTTGTAGCACATTTAGAGCTTTATTTCGGAAACTGTAAGAGCGCGAATTTAGTGTAGCCAGATTTATTCTAAAATTTAATTTTGAAATACTGTGTTTGTTTTTAAAAGTTTTACTGTTTAATATTATTGTTATATATATGTTTAATATTATTGTTATATATATGTTTAATATTATATTTATATAAATATTTGCAGAAGGTTAAGCTGTTGGTGGTGGAAGAATGTTGGATTTCATATGATATGAAGTTTATAATTTATGAATATTTTCATTTAATTTTATTTAGTTAATTTTTTGTTAGTTTTGTTTCTTGCATGTGGCAATTGAAAGATGTAGAATATTTAAAGCTTTGAACGAAAGTTGTTTAGTGTGTTGAATTCCAAGACGATAGTAACTTGAATATTTTAGTTAGTTTATGATGCTGAATACGCATAATTTGCTCCATGAATACACATAATTTAAAACTGACTTCGCAGTGCTCTGATCTGATAAGTGTATACATTTATTTACTCAATAATTATTTACAAGAATTGTTCTTTCTACTATTTTATGATGAATTACATATTGTGGGATGGCATCGTTCATTATAATCAGATGACGCGACAAGCTGTGAGAATAAATCTTTGACTTTTCTCGATGATAGAAGGCAGACGATTCCGCCCCTTAAGACGATTGACGCATAAAATAAAAGATTTTTTGAATGAGGCGATTCTTTCTCTTCATCTGTAAATAATCTCATCTATTTCCTTCTACGTATGTAATACTTTGTAGTTCATGTTTCATTAAATATTCACGTTTTACATAAATCGGATACTTTTATTAGCCCCTAGACAGCCACCTAAGAAGTAAGTTAAGTTTACAAACATCATATTCCTAGACAGTAAGTACCGTTCCTACAGATTTGGGCGCTCAGGCCGCGATGCGCCTAGGAAGAAGCATTATGAATATTACAAAAATAACAGAAGTAAGTTTTGTTTCGATTATTCCACAATTTACTTCTAAATAGTGTTATATGATACTGTGATTAAGAGACTACCTAAAATTCTATTCCTAGATAGAATTTCAAATTCTTTAAAGACTGGGGCCTACTAAGTTCAATAATTTTACATCAAATTGTGTTGGAACTTTGGGTGATCGAAAAAATAGAGCTAGATTGCGTAACTTTTGTGTGTTTTCCATCTGATTTTAATATTGAAAAACAAAACAAAAATTACTTAAAATCTTACTGCAAATGAATTTTTATTTCTGTTGTAATTGTTACATCTTAATTATGTTCAAATTCTGATAAAACTGTGATTTTTTTAGTTTTTGATTTTAAGCTTTCACAATCCGAAAGTGATGACGATGAGGAGTTTCTGAAAACGAAGTGTTTATGATTCTGATAAAATGATGATTATTAATTCTGTTCTGTCAGAATCACCTCCCATAATAACTCAGTGGATGAAACATTATAATGCCTAGCAATATTTCCTTACATTTTCGGTGATATCTTAGAAACCGTTTTTCTGAATTTATGGCACTGATACATATCCAATTGAATCCTTCATTGGTGATTTAGAAGAATCTTTTAAAATATTTAAGTTTTATCGGAATTACAGA